TGTTAATATTAGTTAGGACAGCCAGTCACATTGTCCTATTTTTATTAATATCACTGAATACCTGCATCTTGTTATCGCAGTTACTGACCGTGTCATATTTTCATTGTTTCTGTTTTCCTACTAAATATGTACATTGTATTTTTTGAAATGTATTATATAAGGGTACATGTACATATCTATTTAGTTTCAAATGACAAAAAGTACTTGAAGTATCCTAAAAAGGAAATAGGATAATTTTTATAATGTTGGGAAAAAAATTAAAAACAATTAAAGTGTGGTGGTTGTCGTGCAGTGCACATGTTGTGTAAGTCGCTATGAGTTCCATATTGAACAGAACAAGATGCATTGACCACCGCCATTAAAATCTCTCTGGATTATCATGTCAATTCATGCATTCAATGTCTGTTTTCTTGATGATTAATATAAATGCAAATTGTAAACTGCGTTTGAATGTAGAAATCATATTCCATATTTGAAACTACGTGCTTTACACCATCATTGTAATAACCTTACATTAATTTAATGCAGTATCTTAGTATTAATTTAGGTAGAAGCCTTATACAAATATCCAGAATGTATCCAAATTTATTTATTTATTTACGTAATACTAGAAGATATTTATTGAGTAAAAATTGGTTATAAACTATGGTAATAGCAACTATTTTGTCAATGTTGAAACCTTTTTATCACTGGTTTCTATGGCAACGACATAGTGGCATTTGCATAATGAAATCTGTCGGCCATCTTTTTTATTTTACCAGATAAACTCGGAACACGGTTTATATTCCTGCATCGTATTTTGTTGTCTTGAATTCTTAATCAATTCTGAGTTTTGAAAATAGATTAAAAATGAAATAATAATTCATCTGTGTTTAGTGTTCAGTAATCATGTAAACAAATAATGTATTTTACATGCGTTTTATATGTCACCTGTACATGGGACCCATATCAAACACATGGAATTTTCCAAACTGTCCCCATCATTCTAAATGGTTCATCCCTATAATGAATCTAACATGTATATGTTGTTATTGTCAGAGCAAAAAGACCCCGAAGATGACACTAATAGCCATGTGTCAGTCAATCATGAAATAACAACTACAGAGCAAAAGGCATTCAGTAAACATGGTGTGGAAGGATCAGCTAGCAGTTATTTTAATGAAAAGATACCAGTCCCTGATGGCGATGAAAGCGTGAGTATTTTGTAAATTATAAAATGCTTGATAGAGGGGGGCAAGGGTTATTTTCGTTCAACGTAATTGCAATATTTTTTTGTTCGTACAACGTAAATTGAAAAAAATAAATTCCGCAACTCTGTAATCACAGGCTAGACGTACAACGTAATCAATCAGATATTTTTTTCGTACACTGTAAAAATGTGTCATTTTCCTAGGTACGTACAAGAATTTCCTAGGTTTTCTTTCTTAATTTTCCGTAAAATGTAAAATAATTTATTTTCTCTGTAAACTGTAAACATTCAATTTTCACTGTAAACTGTAAAAACGTCTTTTTTTCCTTGTAAATTATAAAAAGCCCTTTTTATTTCCCTTAAAACTGTACCAGCTACCCCCCTTGCCCCCCCCCTCTTGATACAAACCTGTGTTAGTGACCACCTCTATATAAAGACCACCTGTCTATAGTGATCATTTTTATTAATATAATAATCATCGTTCTATTTATAAAACAATTTTGTAATTTAAGCAAGTCAAATTTATTTGATTTTTATTAAACCAAATAATTGTGTTTTTGTTGCAACATCATCACAAATATGTCAAATGTATGAAATGGCAATCTATAAAAAAATAAATCTAACCTCCACATAAAGACCACCTGTCTATAAAGATTCAATGAAGTCTCTTTGGTGGTTTGACTGTAGTACAATAATGTGCTAATAGTATAGTGGTTGTAAAGTATATACTGACTATAACAAAATACAATAAAAGCATATTTCCAAAATTGTTGGCATATTGGCTGTAAAATACATTGATTGTTCACAGAATTTTCAATCTTTGGCTGCAAAAAGACAATGATTTTTAAAGGGGCACTTGCAGCTTAGTCTAAGCTCACAACAAATTTACTTTCTGGATTAAAATTACAATGGATAACAAAAGATAGATTAATTTGTAAACAACATAAACAGTAGTGTCCCATGATTCTTTGGTGCAATCCCTGGGCTTGGAAGTTCCCCCTTTAAATCATTTGATATGTTCTAATACAGCATTACGTATAAATTCCATTTATTGTTATAATTGAAGTAAATTTTATATCTTCTCAGTCTAGCTTCAGTTTTCGCAAACTTTGGGCATTTACCGGTCCTGGATTTTTAATGAGTATAGCATATCTTGATCCAGGAAATATTGAATCGGATTTACAGTCAGGATTTGTTGCTGAATTTCAGGTAAGAAATTGGCTTCATGTGCATGCTACAACCTGATCATGTGCCTCCTACATCCTGGTCATGTGCCTCCTACATCCTGGTCTTGTGCCTCCTACATCCTGGCCATGTGCCTCCTGCATCCTGGTCTTGTGCTTCCTACATCCTAGTCATGTGCCTCCTACATCCTGGTCTTGTGCCTCCTACATCCTGGCTATGTGCCTCCTGCATCCTGGCATGTGCCTCCTGCATCCTGGTCATGTGCCTCCTGCATCCTGGTCATGTGCCTCCTGCATGCTGGTCATGTGCCTCCTACATCCTGGTCATGTGCCTCCGCATCCTGGTCTTGTGCCTCCTACATCCTGGTCTTGTGCCTCCTACATCCTGGTCTTGTGCCTCCTACATCCTAGTCTTGTGCCTCCTACATCCTGGCCATGTGCCTCCTGCATCCTGGTCATGTGCCTCCTACATCCTGGTCTTGTGCCTCCTACATCCTAGTCATGTGCCTCCTACATCCTGGTCTTGTGCCTCCTACATCCTGGCTATGTGCCTCCTGCATCCTGGCATGTGCCTCCTGCATCCTGGTCATGTGCCTCCTGCATCCTGGTCATGTGCCTCCTGCACGCTGGTCATGTGCCTCCTACATCCTGGTCATGTGCCTCCTGCATCCTGGTCTTGTGCCTCCTACATCCTGGTCTTGTGCCTCCTACATCCTGGTCTTGTGCCTCCTACATCCTGGTCTTGTGCCTCCTACATCCTAGTCTTGTGCCTCCTACATCCTGGCCATGTGCCTCCTGCATCCTGGTCATGTGCCTCCTGCATCCTGGTCATGTGCCTCCTGCATCCTGGTCATGTGCCTCCTACATCCTGGTCATGTGCCTCCTGCATCCTGGTCTTGTGCCTCCTACATCCTGGTCTTGTGCCTCCTACATCCTGGTCTTGTGCCTCCTACATCCTAGTCTTGTGCCTCCTACATCCTGGCCATGTGCCTCCTGCATCCTAGTCATGTGTGTCCTACATCCTGGTCATGTGCCTCCTACATCCTGGTAATGTGCCTCCTACATCCTGGTCATGTGCCTCCTACATCCTGGTCATGTGCCTCCTACATCCTGGTCATGTGCCTCCTGCATCCTGGTCATGTGCCTCCTACATCCTGGTCATGTGCCTCCTACATCCTGGTCATGTGCCTCCTGCATCCTGGTCATGTGCCTCCTACATCCTGGTCATGTGCCTCCTACATCCTGGTCATATGTACCTCATAATAATAAAAGCATGAACAACATTCTTTTAATGTGTCAAACAGTTGCTGCACATGCATGCAAGTATTTCTGCTTATTAAAAACATGACTCATGGCAGTGTATATCATACTTAATTTATTTATTTTATGTGCAGTTGCTATGGATGTTACTGCTTGCTACATGTCTTGGATTATTACTGCAACGTCTGGCAGCGAGACTGGGAGTGGTGACAGGGTTGCATTTAGCTGAAGTATGTTATAGAGAATACCCCAAAGTACCACGAATTATACTCTGGATCATGGTGGAGATTGCTATTATTGGTTCTGATATGCAAGAAGTCATTGGGACGGCAATTGCATATAATTTACTTTCAAATGGAAAGTAAGTGTTGGTTGATTTTATAGTGATACAAATTTAAAATTTCTTCCAAAACAATTACCAATACTTTTTTGACTCCCGTGTGCGAAGCACAAAAGGGAGTCTTTGCAGTTACCCTGTCTGTATGTCTGTATGTCCGTATGTCTGTATGTATGTATGTATGTATGTCACTTTATTTGTTCCACCGTTATCTCAAGAACCACTAATCAAATTTTGGTGAAACTTGGTACATAGATGCTCTGGGATAATGCGCAGAGTTGATTAGGTTTTGGTAAAAATCTATGAATATTAATTACCTAATTTGCATGATAATTAGCTGATTTTTAGCTGTTCCATGACTGTTCCACTGATATATGAAGAACCACTCATTGGATTTTGATGAAACTTGGCACATGGATGCTCTGAACTAATGCGCAGATTTGATTTGTTTTTGGTAAAAATCTATGAATATTAAATACCTAATTTGCATGATAATTAACTGATTTTAAGCTGTTCCATGACTGTTCCACTGATATTTGAAGAACCACTCATTGGATTTTGATGAAACTTGGCACATGGATGCTCTGATCTAATGCGCAGATTTCATTAGTTTTGGGTAAAAATCTGTTTATATTAATTACCTAATTTGCATAATGATTAATCAATTTTCGGCTTTTCCACTGATATCTCAAGTACTAATCATAACATTTCAATAAAA